GAGAGAAGGAAGGGGGGGGGGGAACCCCTTCTCCTCCTTCTCCGATTCGGCCACATGCCTAGGGGGGGGGGGCGTGCCACCCCTTGTGGGATGGTGTGCTTCCCTCTTATGGCCCATATGGCCCATATCTTCCTCCCGGGGGTTCCGGTAACCCCCCGACACTCCAATAAATACCTGATAGTATACAGAACACTTCCGGTGTACAAATACTAACATCCTATATATCAATCTTTACATCTCGACCATTTGGAGACTCCTTGTCATGTCCGTGATCTCATCCGGGACTCCAAACAACATTCGGTCACCAAATCACATAGCTCATATAATACAAAATTGTCATTGAACGTTAAGCGTGCGGACCTACGAGTTCGAGAACTATGTAGACATGACCGAGACACCTCTACGGTCAGTAACCAATAGCAGAACCTGTATGCTCATATTAGCTCCCACATATTCTACAAAGATCTTTATTGGTCGAGGCGTTATGACAACATACGTTATTCCCTTTGCCATCGGTATGTTACTTGCCCAAGATTCGATCGTCGGTATCTTCATACCTAGTTCAATCTCGTTACTGACAAGTCTCTTTACTCGTTACGAAATACTTCATCCCGCAACTGACTCATTAGTCACTTTTCTTGCAAGGCTTCTTATGATGTGTATTACCGAGAGGGCCCAGAGATACCTATCCGATACTCGGAGTGACAAATCCTAATCTTGATCTATGCCAACCCAACAAACACCTTCAAAGATACCTGTACAACATCTTCATAATCACCCAGTTATGTTGTGACGTTTGATAGCACACAACGCATTCCTCCGGTATCTGGGAGTTGCATAATCTCATAGTCGGAGGAATATGTATTTGACATGAAGAAAGCAATAGCAATAAAACTAAATGATCATAATGCTAAGCTAACGAATAGGTCTTGTCCATCACATCATTCTCCTAATGATGTGATCCCGTTTATCAAATGACAATACATGTCTATGGTTAGGAAACTTAACCATCTTTGATCAACGAGCTAGTCTAGTAGAGGCTCACTAGGGACATAGTGTTTTGTCTATGTATCTACACATGTATCAAGTTTCCGATTAATAAATTCTATCATGAATAATAATCATTTATCATGAAATAAGGAAATATAAAATAAAACTTTATTATTGCCTCTGGGGCACCTTCAGTCTCCCACTTGCACTAGAGTCAATAATGTAGTTCACATCGCCATGTGATTTAACACCAATACTTCACATCATCATGTGATTAACATCCATAGTTCATATCGCCATGTGACGAACACCCAAAGGGTTTACTAGAGTCAATAATATAGTTCACATCACCATGTGATTAACACCCAAAGAGTACTAAGGTGTGATCATGTTTTGCTTGTGAGAGAGGTTTAGTCAACGGGTCTGTCACATTCAGGTCCGTATGTATTTTGCAAATTTCCATGTCTACAAAGCTCTGTATGGAGCTACTCTAGCTAATTTCTCCCACTTTCAATATGTACCCATATTGAGACCCCGAGTCATCCGGATCGGTGTTAAAGCTTGAATCGACGTAACCCTTTACAACGAACCCTTTATCACCTCCATAACCGAGAAACATTTCCTTAGTCCTCTTTAGGTACCTAAGTATAATTTTGTCCGCTGTCTAGTGATCCACTCCTGGAACACTATTGTACCCCCTTGCC